AAACGAGTTTGGCTAAAGAGATTTGTTGAAGATTTGAAAGTTAATAGTGATCTCTTAAGACATGTTACGATCTATTGTGACAACTAGGCATCTATTGCTTATAACAAGGATTCCAAGTACCATAGTAAAACCAAACATATTGACACCGAGTATAACTATATTAGAGACATCATCGGGAAAAAAAAAAAAAGAAGTGTTATATATATATATGTACACACGTATTAAATAATAGTAGATCCTCTCACAAAACTCATACCAAGAGATGTCTATCTTAGACACATTAAATCTTTTGGAATGCATAGATTTTAACTTTGCGACAATAATAAATAGTTGAGCTTTGTATGTTGTACTATTTATTTTATGAATACAATTTTATGTTTCCTTTTATATATGTGTGTGTGTTAAAGTTCAACATTTAAAGTCACATTGTATATATGTTACTATGTTAAAGTTCAATTTTGAAAGTCACACAAGTTTAGATTGGCTCTCTCACATGAGCAATTGCCTCTAGCATTGTTAAGAGCAAGTAGATATGAGACAAAAATCCTCTTGCGTCTGTTAAGAGCAAGTAGAGTAGAGATAAACTTAGAAAAATGTCACCTTAATGGAAAATTATAATGAGATTGTAAATCAATATATATTTTACAATCGATTTGGAAAGCCCAATCTAGAGTAGAGATAAGCTTAGAAAAATGTCACCTTAATGCAAAATTATAATGAGATTGTAAATCAATATATATTGTACAATCCATTTGGAAAGCCTAATCCAAATAATCTATGAAAGCTAGATTTAAGGTCTCGATGATAATGCCTACCGAGAGAAAATACCTTGAGAACTTAGGTTACTCGCTTGTATTTGACGATTGAACTAAGATACTGTATGGTGTATATAAGATGTGATTATTGAGAACACTATGCCACGTGATTCATACCATGTATGCTAATACTAAAAGATAGTGGGAGAATGAATCCTTGCATATCTAATTTGTGAGATATTTAGAGGAATAATAATATCCTTTAACTAATATACTTATCACTTTTTACTTGCTATTTGAGATTTAGATTTAGTGTTCATTGTCTTAGCTAGTTACTTATGATCATTTATGATTTGATCTATAGAACTAGTCTAGAAAAATAGCCAACTTTCGAATTAGGAATTTCAAGAAAGAAAGGAAGACATGTTTGGTACATTCATTGGTCGACCAATCATGTCGCTCGAAAGAAGCATCACTTAAGAATAGTATGAATGTAATTATGGATATACAATATAAAATTGAACTATATATCGATCGTGGGATTTTACATAAAGAGTTATTGAATACAAAGAACTACTTGGGGTATTGTAAAATTGAGGATATATTATATCTCGTATATTGTTTATTAATCTTAGATGGTAGCTACTATGTTGTTCCAAACATATGTATAGTAATAAACTCCTAAAATGTAGGAATCCTTACTAGGTTGTATGATCTATTTGCTAGTATAAAGATGTACCTTTTTATTTAATTGTTGATAGTACATAGAGCCTCACATTGAGTCTAGCTTGTCTTGCACGAGTGCGAGATGTTAGAAAAAAAGATTTGGGTCAAGTGGTCCATGATAGGTTGATCTAACAACAAAATTATTTAAAATATACATAAAAGAAAAGCAATTAGTTGCAAGGAAACTTATCCTCTTCAACTCATATATATATAAGAGGGAAAGGGATAAGGACAACTAAGAAAAGAAATCGATAAAATAATAGAAAAAATTCTCTATAACAAAAAGTAAAACATAAAAGAGGATTGTTTTGGCACTTGAATTGGGAAGAGCAGATGGTAATTTAATATTGTTTTTCTAGTCTAGTGAAACTACTTACAAGTAAGTATTGTTTCGATTCTATATTTATTTATTTATGTTTTTAATTTTATTAAGAAGACTAATTTATAATTTATTCACTCCACCCTAAAGGTTTTGTTTTAACTGATGAATTTTAAATTCTTCTATGCTCATAAAATATTTATAGTGGCTAAAAAAAGGTCTTTTATAGCATTCTTTCACTTCTTAGTAATTGACGAGGTAATGATACTCATATTATGATTATTAATGAGAAGGTTTTCAACCTAAATTGATCATGCGGTGATTATAGCTTGATAGATGTTGATTCAATGACGAGTACCTATAAAGCAAGATTTCTCTAGTGGTTGGAGAACTATTCAATAGTTAAGCTAACTTATAAAGAGAGGTGTTTCATCCATAATAAGATGTAAGAGATTACCTTTTATATGTAGGTGATAAAATATAATATAAATATTTTGATCTTAAACTCGTAGGACTTAGTTTTTATGTAAAAGAATGTGATGATGATGATGATGATATATATATATAGGCTATTATTTATTTATCCTAAATTTTGTATTTTTTTCAAATATTATTCTTTAGATAATTTTAAATTTATTTGCTACTGGAATTTGTATTCTATTTTGTTTTAAATTTTTTATTTACATTTGGATCAATTTTTTGCTTTTTGGAAGAAGAATTAAAAATATGAAACTAAATAAAAACAATTGCTAATTCTTTTTTATTTAGTATGGTTTTTTATTTTTTTCATTTTTTTATTTTTATTGCTAATTTTTTATTTATTCATTGCTGGATTTTTTTCTCTAATTTTTTATGTACATTGCCTAAATTTTCACTTTATTTAAATATTAAAATTAATAAAAAAATTTTTATAGATTTTTACTTATTTATGTTGTCTTTTTTATTTTTTAAAAAAAATAAAAAAATAGGAATGAAATAATATTCATGTAAAAAAATAAAAATCCTGGACACATGAAATCAAACATTCATGAAAAAAATAAATTGTAAAATCATGCTTATGAAATATTGCATATTTACAACATCAAGCGTGTTTCTTTTTAACCAAGCCAGGAAAGAATACAAGAGGAAATGGACTAGACTTTTCCTCATTCATGCATCCACCACCTTATTATTTTAATTTTACATGTATAGATAATGAGATATTTTTGAGTTAATTTTTACATCAACTGAGATTAAATCAATTGCTTCTTAGGCTAAGCCAATGTTAGAATATATTTAATTTTTGATCGACTATTAGGTCACTTCTTAAGCCAAATCGGCCCAAACTTTGATAGTATTAAGAGATAATTATGTCTAATTATTTATAAATAGTGAGAATTGAATATTGGTTTTGACCAAACTAAGATAATTTTTTTACTATTAGGCTACATCTCTTGGTGTTGATGTTTTTTATTTATTTATAAGATCCAAATTATCATTAATTATTAATGATCAATTTATATAACAAAAATAAGTACAAAGTTAACAAAAGAAACTTTAATCAATATTTTATTTTTGTTTTGGTTTCTTAAAATAAAAGAATATTATAAATAAAAATTCAAAATAATAAAAAAAAAGCCATCGGTGAATAAATAAAAAAATTGGACGAATAAAATTGCTTTATTATTTTATTTTTTTTAAAACTAAAACAAAAAAATATATGACATTTGTCCCTCCCTTTTTTAAAAGTTGAAATTAATGAAAATTAGGTTTGACTTTGAATAGAAAGACATCTCCTAAAAAAAAAAAAAAACCAAACCATGCGTGTTTGATTGCCTAAATTAAAACTATAAGATTGTCTTTGTCCTAAAAAAGATAGCACATATACCAAGCCCCTCTAGGCTAATGGATAAAGCATCATATTTTATCGTCCTTAAAGGGGCATTTAGTATGCCAATTTTTAGATGTCTTTCTAAAATATAATTTCTTAAAGGATTATGCTAAATTCATTATACGTGTTTTTATTTTTATTAATTTTTTATTATAAATTATTAATAAATTCTTACATCTTATTACTATCTAGTTTCTAACTTGATATGATGGTGGTGTATTGGTAATTTATAATAAAAATCTTGATGGAAACAACAAAATATTTAGTAGATTTAATAATATCTTTTCTTTAAATATAATTGTTTTAAATGTGATATTTGTGTTTGATTGAAAAAGAAAACTTTTAACGGGTTTGGTTTATTCTCAAGAATTCATGAGAAATTTAAATAAATTTACCTTTTTAATCTTAAAACTCACAATATCTAAATTTGAAAATGTTAATATTTGCTTTTCGTTTAAACATTATACACATAAAAATACTTGTTACTACTGTAGAAAACTAATATTGAACTGGATTCAATTAAAAATTAAAAATTGTTGGTATAAAAAACTTAACTTTTTGATTAAAAAATAAATTGATTTATAAAATTTTAATTATTAAGTAAAATAAATATTCAATAAAGATGTTTGAAAACATAGGGACATAAAATTTAAAACAATTGTGTTATTATTAGTAGACATTAAGAGTTTATTGATCCAATTAATATTAATTATAGAGATATTCAAGTATAAAAATATTTTTCTGTCCTTGGATTGTGATTGTCATCATTTTAAAAGAGAATCACATTTCTTATTTTCAAAAAAACAAAAAAGTAATTCCCAGAGAGCTTTAGATCCCTCAACGTTAGGACAGCAAACACAAAAATCATTGACGTTTTATGAAACGTTTCCGTGAGAATCTTAAATGTCTGCGTACCAAACGTCCCCTAAACCTCAAATCCCACCGTATCATGCATCGAGCGAACTGTCAAACAACTGGTAGGTCCTTTTTTTTTAACTCGAAGGCTAAAAAGGCCAAAGAAGAAAAAGAAAGAAAGAAATCAGTCTTTTCCCCAACAGATAGAAGCATCCTTGGTCTCTCTCTCTCTCTCTGTCTCTCTGTCTTCCAAAGCTACCTCTTGTCTTCTGGTCTGTCACTTTCTCTCCCCTAACCTGTTCGTGATTTTGTCTATATATACACACCAACCTCTTTCTATGAAAAATGCACACAAGGCACAACATCGCTTGGCTCTCTGATATAGCTCTTTCTTGCCTCTTGCTTTATTGTAAGCAATAATATTGCTTACTAGTATAATCTTCTACCTTCACTTCTCATCTTTAAGGAAATAAGTATGACAAAGGTGACCGGAGAAGAAAGTGTCACTCTTGATCTTCTCAAGGGAAAAATGGCCGAGTTTGCTAAGGAAAGGGACTGGGACCAGTTTCACAGCCCCAGAAACCTGCTTCTCGCTTTGGTATGTTCTTGTTTCTTTCCTTCTTTGTTAATATCCTTTTGTATATTTTAAAAATAAAACCATGTAACTTGAATTAACTTTGTTATGACTCCATATCTTTCTACTTTTTTTTTTTTTTTTATGAATATTACTTCATATCATCTTTGCTTGTTTTTCATATCATTTTTATGAGCCTTTTTTTTATATGTTGACCCAGAGAAGAGGCTTGATCACATTAAATAAATCTGTATGTTTCTATGTAGTTTCCTGTCAATGTTCTTTTTCCCATTTTTTGACCAAATGAACCCAACTAAGGCAGTTGGATTTTAATGATTTGTTTTATTTCATTCATTAAGAACTAACTCAAGTTGGGTTTTTTTATAAAAAAATTTTTTCCATCACTTTGCTTAAATCTCAATTTTGTTTTGTGAGGCAGGTGTCGTATAAATTCATGTTTATCTCGAGTCAAACTTGGTTAACTGTGCAAATAGATCGGTCTTTTGTTGTTATCCATGTCACAAAGAAATATTTGGAACACGTTTTTTTCCCCCTGGCCTTTTTCCTTTTATGTCAGAAAAAATGACATAAAAGACAGTGACTTTTGTCTATGGGTACTGTTTTAAAGATTTATTTCTGGGTGACCCTTGCATAGTGATGATTCTCAGGTGGGTGAAGTTGGAGAACTATCGGAGATATTTCAGTGGAAAGGAGAGGTCCCAAAGGGACTTCCTGATTGGGAAGAAGAGGAGAAAGTACATCTTGGTGAAGAGCTCTCAGATGTTTTGCTATACCTTGTTAGGCTCTCTGATATCTGTGGCATTGACCTAGGCAAAGCAGCTCTGAGGAAAGTTGGACTCAATGCCATCAAATACCCAGTGGGCATCAAGGACTCTTCCAAGGAAATACAGCAACATCAATAATAATGGCAATGAACAGTGGTTGATTGATTTTAGACTTGAAAGTGGAAACATACCTACCCACCCCCTAGTCTTTTAACCTCTTGCTATATACGGAATTTCATGCATAAGTGTCTTTTAGGTGTTATCGGATTGTGATGGGTGGGTCTTAGAGAATATATGGCACTAGCAGTAGGGGCAAGGGATGGGGGATTTCTTACTTTCTTTGCACGGAGACTCGATGGATTAGTGTGTTTTGGCATTTATGTATCCTCAACAGATTATGTTTACTGTTTTAGCAGATGAATCAAATCCTTCTGGCAGATACGGTGGTGATTCTATAGCATTTTTGCTATCTTCAGTTTTGGCTTGTAGCCCTTTTTCACAATGCTGGTTTTTCTTGTCAAAGCATTTATGAACGTTTGCGTGTAAAGGAGTCCAACTAAGTATCGAAGGACCGGATTATATGAGAATGTATATCTCCATAAAATTTATTGTTAAAATCCTTTAATGGCAAGGGAAGACAAATTTCTCCTTGTTACTATTAGCTTTACATTTAATTTTAAATATGAAAGAAACTTATGAATTATATTTTAATAAATTAAATTAAAAACGAAAGTTTAAAGCTATTAAGCGAGCCCTTTTAGACGAAAAGCAAGAAAACAAAGTAAAATTTTTTGCTTAATCAAATAAGCTTTATCCTCCTAGAAGAAAGGGACAATGGAAGTCCGTCATAATTAAGGATGACAATGTCAATGCGTCTAATATCTAATTTATTAATTCGATCTTTTGCCCTTTATTTATATTCATTAAAAATTACTATAAAACTCATAACTCTATCTATTCCTAACGTATCTATATATTTAATATCAGTTAAAAATAATTTATTAACATGTTTTGTTTCGCTCTCTGTTGGTTTTAAAATTAATAATTTTATGTTTTGAAATTTTATTTATAAGTTTTTTGTGCTCAATTTTCATATAAAATATTTTGTTCTTTCTTTATAAAGTTTATACAATTAGGTCTTTGTATGCTTTTTTTTTTTTTTTTTCCAAACAAACTCATGGTATTAATAGGATATAAATTACATAGATATCCATACACGAAAGTCATATTAATGGACATGTAATTTTTTATCGTTATCTATCTGAATATCAATTAAATATTTTTAACAAGTATTTATTGAGTTCCATAGAGCAAACACCCACTTCATATTCAACTCATTAATAGACATGTAATTTTTTATTGTTATCTATCTCAATACCCATTAAACATTTTTAACAAATGTTATTGAGTTCCATAAAGCAAGCACCCACTTCATATTCATCTCGTTATCATCTCCAGCCATAATTAATAGCTCAAATATATGGCAAGCAATTACGGAATTGACATGTTGTTAGCTTGCAAATCTATTGGGGTTAATGAGTTTATGAATCTCTATACAATCAGTTTGGTTTTAATAAGGTCCCTGATTTTTTAAATTTCTTAATCAAAATTTTCTTCTATAGTTTCACGAACATCATTAGTCCTTTTATAACTAAGGGTGTTATTTGATCGTTAACTTTGAAATATATTTATAATATATTTTTATATTAAAAACATTAAAAAATAAACAACAAATATAAAAAATAAGAAAGCTAAATAACTAAAACAAATCAATATAAGAAAACAGAGTTTAACAATCGTTTTAAAAACCGTTGCTAAAAACCATGAATTAGCAACGGTCTAAGTAAATAGTACCTAATTTCATTTCAAGTGTTTTTTAGCAATGGTTTGAGAAGATCGCCGCTAAATCTCTCAAAAATAGGTTAATTGTGACGATCGACCAAATTGTCATTGATTCTACCCAAATTTAAGGGGTATTTTGTGACAGCTTTTGTAGATAGTCACTAAATTCTCCCTTAAATCGAGAGGTTTTTAGCGATGGTTTTCTAAAATCTTCGCTAAATCTCCCCTTATACCAAAGAGGTTTTTAGCAACTGATTTTGAAAATTGTCGCTAAAATTCCTTAAAAAGGAATTTTTGGAAAATTGTCACTAAAATCTCTTGAAAAAAGAGGATTTTAAGGATAGTTTTTGTAAAACCGTCGCTAAATTCCTATTTTAGCAATAGTTTCTCATACCGTTGCTAATTTTTTACCATTAGGGGAGAAATAAAAAATTTAAGAAAAAAGACGAATTTTAAGTTTAACGACGAATAAAAAACTATTGCTACATGAAAAATCCAAAAATAGCTTTCTACCTAATTTTTTTCCATTTTTTCTTCCGCTCTTCTCTCTTCTTCTTCTTTACCTACGAGTGCCGGCACCCTAAAATTCCTTCATTAAAGCCGGCAGTTCCTCCGAACACCCCTTCTCTCTTATTTTCTCATTCTTTCCCTCCATCTCTTTCCTTTTCCTTCTTCATTTTCATCTTCTTTCTCCCCTTTTCGTCTCTTCCTCCCTTCCCTCCAGTTCTTCTTGAGCAGTTGATAGAAGCTCCTCCTCCCTTCCCTCCTCTTCTCTATGAGTTGGTAGTAGCTCCTTCCTTCTCTCCTCCTCCATTTGTTTAAATAGTAACTCTTTTTTTTTGCCATTTATTTCAATAATTATATAATTTTTAATTAAATATTTATTTTTTAATTGTTTGTAAGTTTACTTCATTTTCTAGTTAGGGTTAATTTATTAGTAGTTAATTAATTGTTAAAAAAATTAATTAGGTATTAGTTTAATTAATCGAGTTAATTAGTTATTAATTAAATTATTTAATTATTTAAAAATTTAATTAGATATTAGTTTAATTAATTAGGTGTTAATTAAGATATTTAATTATTAATTAAATTAATTTAATTTTATTAAAAAATTTAAGCAGGTGTTAGTTTAACTAATTGGATTTAATTAAGTTATTTAGTTGTTAAATTAAGTTAATTAGCTAGTTGTTAATTAAATGAACTAATTGTTAAAAAAATTAATTAGGTGATAGTTTAATTAATTAGGTGTTAATTAAGTTATTCATTTGTTAATTAAATTATTTAATTAATTGTTAATTAAATTATTTAAAAAATTAATTACGTGTTAGTTTAATTAATTAGGAGTTAATTAAGCTATTTATGTGTCAAAATAAGTTAATTTAGTTGTTAATTAAATATTTTTAAAAAAATTTAATTAGGTGTTAGTTTAATTAATTTGGTTGTTAATTAAGCTTTTTAGTTGTTAAAATAAGTTAATTAATTATTAATTAAATTATTTAAATATTTTTAAAAAATTAATTATGTGTTTGTTTAATTAATTTGGTTGTTAATTTAATTTTTAAGTTGATAAATTAAGTTAATTAGTTTTTAATTAAATTATTTAAATATTATTTAAAAAATTTAATCGAGTTGTTACTTTAATTAATTTGGTTGTTAATTAAGTTATTTAGTTGTTAAATTAAGTTAATTAGTTATTTATTTATTAAATTAATTAATTATTAAAAAATAATTAGGTATTAATTTAATTAATTAGGCGTTCAAGACTAGTTCATCTAGACATACGGGGGTTCGATCACACACAAGGAGCACGCAATACACATGGTAAATCCTATTATATTTATAAATAATTTATTATTTATAGTTATTGTAACATCGGTATATGTTTAAATATATTTGTTTCAACGTTAGGAGTTGGATTGTGAACTCGATGCTCATGAAGTGTTCTTGAAGACTCATAAGAAAAAGGTTGATGATAAATATGTATTCATCGAACAATGAGCAAAAAATCTCGAGGTAAGTAATTTATAAGCTAATACGTATGCTACTTTTATATAACTTATTAAGATTATTATTTAATATTAAAATTTATGAAATTATATAGGATACCGTCAATAAAATATTTGAGGATGAGGTTGCCGAGTTGAAGGACGGAGGGTACTTCAATGCCCGATATCAACATAAACAAGACATTTAAGATGGTTATTGGAGGATGAAACGAGTAAGAGGATAAGAATATACAACTTGGGTCACGGACCTCTCACTATTACTTAAATATTAGTTCATCCTCTAGTTCGACAACCTCATGGTTAATGTAGATATTGAGGGGCATCGAAAGGAAGTGGAGGCCAACAACTGCTAGACAATAAGAAAAAATTCAAAAACTAGAGGGTACTATTACATCGATCTTAGAAAATCAAAGATGGTTAGAGTAGCATAATCGAAGCATCTTGTGATAATGTAGCAAATGTTACCAAATATGTAAAACAATAATTCACCCATCAATCTTTCAACTAACTATCATGTGTCGGATGAAAATACCGATATATGACGTGTAGCCCCTTCATCACAATATCTTTTTTTATTGTTGTTATGTTTTTTTTTTTTGTCAAAATATTAAAACACTTTAACATAATTTGGTGTTTGAATATATATTGGATTAGATTTTATATATTACAAAGAATTCATATTTTTTATAATTCCATTTCATACCGTCATTGTAATTGTTAAATTGGATTGGATTTTATATTTCTTATTAGCGACATATAAATGATGAAATAATTGACTGAAAATTTCGTAAAAAAAAATTGATTAAACGATGGTTTAAAATTGTTGCTAAATTCAAGATAAATTTTTCCATAATTAATGATAGTTGGGTAAATCATCGCTAAATAGAAGCTACATTTAGTGACAATGTTTTGAAAACCATCGCTAAATTGGTGACTTTTGCTCATTTTTTAGCAACATGTTTTTTATTTTTTAGCGACGGATAAACCATCTCTAAATTAGCGATGGAATTCCAAAAACCATCGCTAATTAATTAGCGAGAAGCTTTTTAATGATGGTTTTTTTACCATCGTTAAGTATAATTAGAGATATTTAGTGATGATTTAAACTATTGCTAAATGAATATTTTTTTTTGTAGTGAATGTAAGTCCTATCAATATTTTCTTTCCATGATATATATATATAAATAACAAAAACCCAATCAAATACAATAACAAAAATCTTTGCACTACCACCTTTTCATTACCATACCTCCATCTTCATAACAAAATAGAACATAATTGTTTCATCTT